TTTCTCCTCATCCTCATTTGTTAATTTGTTGATGGTAGCCATTCTGACAGGTGTGAGGTGATACCTCCTTGTCATTTTGATTTGCATCTCTCTGATGATTGGTGACTGAGCATTTTTTCATTTGTCTCTTGGCCTTCTGGATGTCCTCTTTCAAAAAGTATCTATTTAGGTCCGTTGCCCATTTTTTGACTGGGTTGTTTATCTTCCTTTTGTTAAGTTATATACAGGTTATTTTCAGTAAATATACAGTTGGCGTTCTGTATCCCAGATTTCGTATCTGCCAATTCAGCCAGCTGCGGGTAGAAAACAGTATTTTCAGTGCACAGTTGAGAATTTGTGGATATGGACGCCGACAGTATGCATTGATCTACACCATTTTAGATAAGGGACTTGAGCAGCCACGGATTCAGTATCCATGAGAGGGCCTAGAACCAATTCCCCATGCCTTCTGAGGGAGGACTATAAAGTTTTGGGGGAGTCAATAATTATACACGGACTTTCAACCGCACAGGGGTCAGCATCCCAACCCTACGTTGTTCAGGGCTCGTCTGTGATCAGAATTCCATCAAATAGCAGATCTGTCAACTAGTAAATGGCAGCAAACTTCTGTGAATGCCTTTCATCCTAAGAAGTTCGTTTTGGCCAGGTAGGCAGTAAGGAGTAAGAGGTAAACTCAGGCTGTCTCCTTCAGGACCTAAGGTAGGCCCCGCCTAAGGGTTTGTTTCCTTTCCTTTGTAGAAACAGAATGTTAGCTGGAAACCCAGTCCTTGTCCCTTAGTCAGTCCCATCCAAAACAGATGGGACTTGATCTCAGATCCCCAGAGCCATGCTCTGTGACTGTGCCCCTGGAGCCTCTCCAGCTCCACTATGATAAGGTCACCTCTGCGGTCGACTGTATTATTTGTATCAAAACATAATGTGGGTCACTCGGGACCCCTTGGGTCAGAGCCTCTGCCCCCTGCCCTCCCCCACGCTTCCCTTCAAATGTGCAATCACTGAATCGGCCTCTCTGTCCTCCTAGGACCAGCACCCAGTTGGGCTTCCCCGGACCACGGGCCCCATGCAGTCCTCCGTGCCCCCAGGCTCAGGTGGCATGGTCTCCGGCGCCAGCCCCTCGGGTCCGGGCTTCCTGGGCAGCCAGCCCCAGGCGGCCATCATGAAGCAGATGCTCATTGATCAGCGGGCCCAGTTGATGGAGCAGCAGAAGCAACAGTTCCTGCGGGAGCAAAGGCAGCAGCAGCAGCAGCAGCAGCAACAGCAGCAGCAGCAGATTCTTGCCGAGCAGGTAACGTGCCCGTGGTGTCCGAGCAAGCGGTTTATTCAGCCCCTGGGGCCTGGGAGGGAGGTACGGGCAGGTCCTTCTTCAGGATGTTCACAGTCTCCCGGGTTCATAGGAGAACCTGCAGAATTTAGACCTTTAAGTTGGTTAGACCTTTCCTTAGAGTAAATTAGTTTGTTCTGAAAAGAGAGGCTTCAGCTATCCATGTGAAAGCCCATTTGCCAGAGATGTGTCTTCCATTGGAGTCTGACTCCTTTTCTCTGGGTTTCTGGTGCAGGGGTTGCTGTAATCAGCGTGCAGGTGGGAGGGCTGGCTCCCATTCCTCACAAGCTCTAATATTTCTAGCAATAGGAAAAAGAAAAAGAATTCAGAGAACCTTGTCTCTTAAAAGAAAGTGTGGGGAGGAGGGATTGAATCGGTCCTGAACAATGAAACAGGAACAATAGCAGAATGAAAGGGCCCACGGAACTACCTGGAAGCCTGAACTTGAGGTCACAGAAAGGCGGCAGATTTAAGAAAACTCCCAACAGCTTTGAAAACAGCTCGAGAAATCTTTAAGTTCAAGGCAGGCCTGACACAAAGCTTTTCCTTAGGCATCTTTGTCCACCTTCCCCATGTGACTCCTCCCGCCCTGAAGGAGAGCCTTCCCTGTGGGCTGCTCCTGTCTGCTTCAGCGGTTCTTTGTGCGCGGGGGGGGGGGGGGGGGGGGGGGGCTTGTTTTTGGAGATGCTCATGCCTAATTTAGTACTACCCCAGGAAAGGCCTTCCACAAGAGATCCTTAAATGGCTCCTATGGGGTCTATACAGGGCATCCCACTTTTTTTTTTCTTAATCCTCACACAAGGATATATTTTCCATTGAGTTTTTAGAGAGAGTGGAAGAGAGGGAGGTGAGGGAGACAGAGAACCATCGATGTGAGAGAGACACTTCAATTGGTTGCCTCTTGCACACGCCTATACTGGGGCTGGGGAACCTGCAACCAAGGTATGTGCCCTTGACTGGGAATCGAACCCCTAACCTGACGCTCACAGATCCTCACACAAGGATATATTTTCCATTGAGTTTTTAGAGAGAGTGGAAGAGAGGGAGGTGAGGGAGACAGAGAACCATCGATGTGAGAGAGACACTTCAATTGGTTGCCTCTTGCACACGCCTATACTGGGGCTGGGGAACCTGCAACCAAGGTATGTGCCCTTGACTGGGAATCAAACCCCTGACCTGACGCTCACGGGTCTGAGAGCTGACGCTCTAACCACTGAGCAAACCATCCAGGGCAGGGCATCTCACTTTTATTATAGGAGATGTGAGGTTGTCATCTAAGGCTCAAGGCCCAACAGAGCTCTGCCTCAGAGTGAGCCTTCTGGAATGTTCCTAATAGGATAAGAATTGTGGAAATTTATCAAGCATTCTCCACCACCTACTGTGTAGGACACAGACATGTTAAGATCTCTACTAACCAAGAACAGCAGTTCAAAGAAATACCCGTCATCCCCCAAATAGAAAAATTGTACTGTCGAGCACAGTTCACCTAGGTTCCATTTTTTTGCTTTTGTTCCTGAACAGCTGTGTAATTATCTCCCTTTTCAGCAAGGTCAGTCAGCCGCCTGGCAGCTCTTGTACAAACAAACCTCTATCCCTCTCACCCTGCAGAAGGTGTGTGACAGGGAACCGTGCGAATGTCTCTCAGGCAGTGATGAATGGAGCTGCTCAGGGGAAGCTGGGCTTTGTAAATCCTCTCCCCAGCCAATCCCAGGAAGTTTCAGGTGTGCCTGATACTTGGAGTGATGGCTTTCAATATGTGTTCTGTGACCAGGCAGAGCTCGGCTGTGCCAGCCCAGGGGTGTGCCCACCTGCTGAGGTCAGCCAACCCTGGGAACGGGGAGGAGGCAGAGGAATGGGAGAAGAGAGGCCACAGGGTGACACCCACAGACTAGGAGGTGAGAGTGTAGGGCAGTGGTTCTCAACCTTCTGGCCCTTTAAATACAGTTTCCTCATGTTGTGACCCAACCATAAAATTATTTTCATTGCTACTTCATAACTGTAATGTTGCTACTGTTATGAATCGTAATGTAAATATCTGATATGCAGGATGGTCTTAGGCGACCCCTGTGAAAGGGTCGTTCGACCACCAAAGGGGTCGCGACCCACAGGTTGAGAACCACTGATGTAGGGTTCACCCAGGACATGGAGAGATACGAGGCTCCTTGGAAAAGACAAGGAAATGAGAATTTAAAAATGAGGATAATTCCTTGCTGATTGTGTGGACCAAGAGATGATGAGGGACCAATGGAAGAACAACTCACTCAAGGTCAGACAGTGTCCAGTCTTTGGCCTGTGGCAGGTTTCATCTGCCAGGGTAGGTTTTAATAAGTTCCCAGCCTTCCTCGTGTCGCTCTTTTAAGGACTGCATGGGCTAATATGTGTAAAAGTCTTTGGAAACTACACAAATGTAATGGGGACCTGGCACATGACCCTGATGTCACAGAAGAGCCACACATGCCAGCCATCCTGTGGGACTGGCCCAGAAATGAAACCAAGAAAAAACTCAGGGCACTGTGGCACCTTACCTGCACCTGCAGGCCGTGCTTCTCGACGCAGGCTGTCTCGGGGTCTACAAGGGGTGAGCCGTCAGCTTTGTGTTTTGAAAGTAAATGTTGCCATATCCAGGCCAAGATGTTTTTCTCAGTCTTTGCTGCAGCCAAGTGTCCCTAACACTTTCCATTTTGTAAACAGCATATTGGGGACACCTGGCTTTCCTATAAGAACAGGTGATGGGAAACAGAAGGACTTGCAGTCGTGCTTATCATGGGGAACTTTAAAATCATTCTCAGTGGCCCTAGCTGTTTTGGCTCAGTGGGTAGAGCATTGGCCTATGGACTGAAAGGTCCCGGGTTCAAGTCTGGTCAAGGGCACACGCCCGGGTTGTGGGCTTGATCCCCAGTAGGGGGCCTGCAGGAGGCAGCCAATCAATGATTCTCTCTCATCATTGATGTTTCTCTCTCTCCCTCTCCCTTCCTTTCCTAAATCAATAAAAATGTATTATTTAAAAATCATTCTCAGTGGACTTAGAAATCAGAACAGAGCAGATTGAAAGCAGCGGTGGAGTGACATTAAATGCCCTCCTCTCAGAGCGTGCAGGCCGTGTTGCCATTCCTGCATTCCCAAAAGTTCCACAGAACCTAGAATTTTCTATCTGAAAGAAACATTAGAGATCATCGAGTGCCTTCATTTTACATTTAAGGAAACAGCAGCCAGGGAGCTGAGGTGACTTATCTGAGATCACAGGGTTAGAGAGAGGCGGAGCTGAGACTGGAGCCCGCCCATCCCAGCACTGGCTACCCCACTGTGTATGGGGTTGTAAGTAGGACAGTAAGTGGGGAATTTGGCTGAGGAGAAGCTTTTATGAGCTCATCTTACTTTCAAGAATGCCCTTATTTTGCTGCCTAAAAGATTAGCACAGTTGCTGTCTACACAATTAATTAATTTTAACAGTTTGTGCAAAACACCATGGTAGGCACCACAGGACGGGTACACAGGGCAGAGGCTGTTCTTTCCTTTGCTTGCCAGGGTGCTGTCTGGCCTTGTTGAGAAACGAGAAAAAGAAATGACAGAGCTGCCCAAGAAGAAAAACAAGAGAAAAAATAGAAATAAACACATGTGTTAAGAAGTAGTCCGTGTGTGTTGTTTTTATAATGAACATGCTACAGAGCAGGGCCGTAGCTGTATGTTCTTTGTAGCCCTTCAGATGAAAGGTGCCGAGTGAATATTAGCTGCAGAAGGAGGTTAAATGACATGCCGAGGTCACGCAGCTACTTGACGGCAGGCTGAGAACTAAGAGCCCTCTCTCTGCTCCCTCCACCTCTTATTTTCTCTCCCTTTTCACATACAGCATGGTAATAATCATAGTGGCCTTGCCAGAATATGGGTAATAGCGTGGGCAAAGCAGGTTCCTGTGAGTGGAAGAACACAGACTAGCACTAGCACGCAAGCCTCTTGCCGCTGGGTCCATGGGGAGCCCCACATGGTTTCCTCGAGGCAGTGAATGCTGGGTAGTTGTGGGGATGGATTTTATAGGCAGGGTGGCCTCGTGGGAATAAGATTAGCTTTGTTCATAGCCCCTAAGAATCCCATCTTCCAAGCCCCGCAGCATCTATTTAGGTCATTCAAAATGAGTCGCTTGTCCCTTTGAGCTCGGTCCCCACACAGCTAAGGAAAACCCACAGGCTGATGCTGGAAAGTCAAAGCCTCTGGGCTCACATGCCTCATGAGCCAGCATGTCCACACAAGAGGCACGGACAAGGGTGTTCACAGCAGCGGTATTTGGGACAGCCCCAAACTGGAGCTGCCCTAAGTGACCATCGGTAGGAGAACAGGTAAATTCATTGTCATGTTAATAGGATGGACCACTTCTCAACGGTGAGAATGAATAGACCACAGCTACATGCATCCCATGCCTGAATCTCCCAAATGTAATGACCACAAGAAACCATACACCAAAGCCAGACACAAGTACATTGTATATGTAAATCCATAAAACCAAGTACAAAAGCAGACATAACTGATCTGAGTTGTCAGGTTTGGGCAGGGGTTCCCCGGGGCCAGATGAAGGGTAATGACCGGCAAGCCCCATATCCTGGCAGTGTTTTGTGTCTTGATCTAGATCAGCAGTTCTCAACCTGTGGGTCGCGACCCTTTGGGGGTCGAACGACCCTTTCACAGGGGTCGCCTAAGATCATCGGAAAACACATATATAATTACATATTGTTTTTGTGATTAATCACTATGCTTTAATTATGTTCAATTTGTAACAATGAAAATACATCCTGCATATCAGATATTTACATTATGATTCATAACAGTAGCAAAATTACAGTTATGAAGTAGCAACAAAAATAATTTTATGGTTGGGGGTCACTTCAACATGAGGAACTGTATTAAAGGGTCGCGGCATTAGGAAGGTTGAGTACCACTGATCTAGATGCTGGTTACCAGGAGTGTGTTCATTTGTGAAAACTCACCAAACTGTACACATCTGCTTTCTGCACTTGCCTGTACGCATGTTATTCTTCAAGACAAAGTTTAGTTTTGGAAAGAACCCTGCCTTCCTCAGAACGGCAGGCTATTTAATGGCGTGCTCTTTCCCCACCTCACCTCCACCCTTCTTGTCCTGTGTTCCAGCAGCTGCAGCAGTCACATGTACCCCGGCAGCACCTCCAGCCTCAGCGGAATCCATACCCTGTGCAGCAGGTCAATCAGTTTCAAGGTGAGGCCCGTGTAGCCAGTAACATTGCCTTGTGGGCTATGTTTGTGTCAGGTAATATTACAAACTAGAGGCCCGGTGCACGGATTCATGCACATTGAATGGAAATTAATTAGAAGAAATATTTTAGAGGCCGGGGAGGGACCGCGGGAGGTTGGCTCCAGGGTGTGTCCATCCCATCTCGCCCAGTCCCAATCAGCCAGACCCGAGCAGCAAGCTAACCTACTGGTCAGAACATCAGCCCCCTGCCGGTCAGTGCACGTCATAGCAACTGGTCAAATGGTCGCACAAACAGTCGGACACTTAGCATATTAGGCTTTTATTATATTGGATATTTAAGAACTGAGAATACCAACCAATCAAAAGCATTCTGGAGACCCCTTGCTGTTCCAGGCAACCTTGTGGTCACTGGGCTCCAGAGAGATTCTGGTGGGCTCAGGGAGGGGTCAGGGTGGCTGTGGGGGGCTGAAGCAGCTGTTCTTTGCCAAAAGTACAAGAAGTATTTCAATAGTTCAACAACCAGTAAGAACATACCGGTGCCTGTTGGCCCAATATCGGCTTTGCTAATGTCCAGGTCATCATCTCAGTGACCACAGTGGGGGAAATCTTGTACCACATTTTTCTTGGCTAATTTCAGCAGGTCAGCTGGCCAAAGCCCTCACCTCCAGCAGCCGAAGTAGAAGATTCTGGCTTGCAGCAACCACTAATCACTACTGTGTATAGAAATAAATAATGCCTTGAGGATGGTTGGACCATCTTGATCCTGCTGCCCTTTGCAGAAATCCCAAAATCTTGGCCCCCTTAGCAATGGGCGTACCATATGCCATTGTTTCATAAAGTAGAAGGTCCACTCAAGTTTCATCCTTTCCATGTCCAATAAAGAGAGCTCCTGAGGTTCCTGTGTGGGGTGGAGGATGAGCCTGAGTACCCTCCCCAGTCTATCCACGGGAGTTTTTAGGGGATTCCAGGAGTCCCCTAACAGTAAAAACCGTAATCGCCATCCCCTTCTCTTTTCGTGGGACCTAGATCAATGCGTCCTAACATCTCACGGGTTACCCATCCCTTTGTGAATCTGTCAGGAGCTATGAAATCCCTTGCACAGAAATATGCTCATACAAAAATATATACGGCCTTCAAATAGCATTTCACAAGTGTTACTGCCCTTCATGGACTGTGGGTAAAAAATTCGTGATCTAGGCTAACATTTTTCAGTCTTTGGATTACAACACACAAACAGGTTGTGAAGACAATTGAACAAGCCACATCCAACATTTTTTCAATGCAATATAATAGAGAAGAAACTGTCAGAGGGTATCATCCTAAGGGAACCGTTTGTTCCTGTTAAAAGACCACCCATGTACCCATGTATCACACCCTAGATATCAAAATGTTATATATCTTGCACTGTGAGGTGTGGGTTTGAGAAAAGCCACCAACGCTCACAGCCAGAGCCCATGAAGAGGGCCTGTGAGCATGCTGACCGGAGTAGCTGCCATTCCCTCCACCGGACACAGGGAAGGGCGAGAGGGACTGGGCTGTGCACAGGTGTTCTATGCACTAAATTAGTGCCAGAATTCTTGGAAGAATTGCTTCTCACTTGGTCCTGTGTGGGAAGGAGTGGAAAATAGTTATGGATACGTGGGTAGTCTTTGGTGCAGACACAGGCCCTCCTCTACCCCTGTAGTTCTCACAGTTCCCCTGCATCAGAATCCTCACCAGAGCTTGTTAAAACACAGCCCACCACCCCCTCAGAGTTCCTCATTCGGGAGGCCTGCAGTGGGACCTGAGAATTTACATTTTAACAAGTTCCCAGGAGTTGCTGCTGCTGGCCGGAGGACCATACTTTGAGAACTGGAGCTTTATATTATGAACTTATTAAAAACATTAAATTGGATAAACCTGGCATCATGTCCATTGGGTTTTCTAGGTTCATAACTCATTATTTTTTGGAATGAAGTGACCCACCCAAAGTTAACCATTCCTGTCTATTAGAAATTATTCTGAATGCTTTGGTTACAATTTAAAAGTTCTACTTCTTGAATTTTTCTAAAACCTCAAAGCATAGGTAATCAACCTAAAAATTCAGCTACTCTTAAGTTAAACAACCCAGTGGATTCCTGAGATAAATAGATAGATAGATAGATAGCTTCAGTATTCTCGTGTATGTATTCACACCCTAGATATCAAAATGTTATATATCTTGGAAAATAGCAAATTGGTATATAAGAAATATTGTCCTAGGAGAGAAATTCTGCGTGAGAACCTACACATCTCAAAGGTTTTAATGACTATCTTTCTCTTATTGAGTTCTGTGTCTCTGGGCAATGTTACATGATATGAGGAAATGTTTATTCTTCACAAACACAAGCATCTTGTGAGTGAAAATAGAAGATAGACCTTTTAGGAAAAAATGTCATATTATCCTTTCTATTAGAATATGAAAGGTTGTCTTTGACATGGTGATGTTAACCAGTAGACAAGAAAATTAATTTGATTATAGTGTCTCACAGTATGATCTGTTTTAAACAAAAACAAAAAAAGAAGAAGAAAAAGTAGTTAAAATTAATGAAGGCATAAAACTAGGTTAATAAAATGCTTTTTGATTTTCTTGAAAATATGGTGCTCATTGCTGATTTTAAAATGCCCTTTTTTTCCATAAGAATTACACTTAGTGTAGCCACTTACACTAAGTAAAAATAAAGGTTCGCTTGGGTTAATCTTTTAATACCTCTTTAAAAGCATTGCAGCACTTCTGTCCACTTAATAAAGGAACCTATCTCTAATTCAAAAACTTAGTCCAGATAATATCCAGTCCCTCATATAATAACATGTCCATTTTAAATATACAACAAAAATTTCCAAAATATTAAAGTCTTGTTATCTATTTCCAGCAGCCCAGCAGCCTGTGTGTATAATTTGGGTCTATCTGATCAATCTCTGAGTCAGCAATATTTTTCCTTTAAATTTTTAAATAAGCAACTCAATAACCCATTTCACCACAGTTGATCAGATTGGCCACGAAGTCGATATAAATTTAGTCGTTAAGGTCACAAAACTTCATAACAAGATTACAAGTTGCACTGTATACTAACATCCAGTATTTAATCAGGAACTTTTGATTTTTTTTAAATCACTTAGATATAATTAAGCTTAAAACAAACAAATGGAAACATTTCTAAGGATCGCCCCCAGATCTTTCAGGTTTCCCCACAGTAAACTTCATTTTTCAATGCAGAATGATATTGATCTCAAGCCTCAAAAACGTAAGTCATACTCAAAATTCCCGTAATTTTCTTTCTTAAAGAGAGAAATAATATATGGAGACATATTTGCTGTCCAGAAATCAATACCCCCATCAGGAAGACAAAAACACACTTCAGTTATTTGCCAAGGTGCCAAGCTTAACAAGGTTACACTATTCTCATCTGGTTTCTCATCTCAGTTCCAGGGAGGAGCAAATTTGCTTATAATATCGATTGGCTCCCATGCTGCATCTTTTTTAAATGTCCGGGAAGAAAAAACTATTTTTCTTTGTCTCTTAGACTTAATCATTAGCCAGGGACATAGCACAATCCATTGTGTGCTCCCCCTAGTCCTTTACAGCATTGACTGCGGCTCAAAGGGTGACATTTCTATTCTCCTGGCTGGTTTGGAGTCTTCCTGCGAACAGGTAAAGAAGTCCCCACTCACATGCCCAATTAGAGGGGAGTGACGCGGGGTGTTCATACTCCAGCCAACTTTTAAACAGCTTCATCAAAACTCTGTTAGCGATCGGCCGAGAGCCACAATCACTGCCGATTTCAAGGAGTGGACTTCGCTGGAAAGATCCGTAAAGTTCATTGCCAAATAGCCAGTGGCAGGATGATATTTTTTTCCTAGCTCAGGAAGCTGGCCAGTTTGCACTGACATGTTATAACTCAGAATCTGGAGCACGTGGAAATCTACAGAGTGGGTCCAAAAATACATCCAGTCTGTTGCAATAGCTTCTGAGCAGAAGCAACGGCCTTTAACCTCTCAAGTCCTGCTCATGTCTCCAGGGAAATTAGTCTAATGGTCTTCACTGATAGTATTCCCTACTGAACCACGTTCCACTTCACACGTAGAATACACACAGCCATCGCCATTTCTTAGTTTAGCCTAGGAGGTGAATTCCCTCTCAACCTCCAGGAAAAATGGTATCGAATTGGTTGAGGATGGCATCCTATCAAGAAGTGTAAGAAATAATTTGCTTCTGAAATGTGGACAAAAACATCAGGGTATTCAAGTGAAAAAGTCAACTACAGACGCGTGTGTACAGTGTGACCCCAATTTGTGCAAGTGTGTCTGTTTTTATATAAATAGTAGTGAGCCGTGGTCAACTCTGGAGGGTGGGAACTTGGGTGACTTGAATTTTCATCTTTGTGCTTTTCAACACTTTCCAAATTTTGCACCATCAGCGTATGTTCTAAGCAGAAAAACAATACTTGTTTCTATGAGGGGTGTATCATCAGAGTAGACCCTCTCATACGGAAGCGTTCTGTGTCTCCCAGAGAAAACCCCACACCTGGTACAGGCTTACCAAGAAGAGTGAGTGCTATGTGTCCTCTGTCCCTGCAGGCTCTCCGCAGGACATGGCGGCTGCGAGAAGCCAGGCAGCCCTCCAGAGCATGCGGACGTCGCGGTTGATGGCACAGAACGCAGGCATGATGGGTATGGGGCCCTCTCAGAACCCAGGGACAATGGCCACGGCCGCTGCCCAGTCTGAGATGGGACTATCCCCTTACAACACCACGCCTACCAGCCAACCAGGAATGTACAACATGAGCCCAGGAATGACCCAGATGTTGCAGCACCCGAACCAAAGTGGCATGAGCATCGCGCACAACCAAGCCCAGGGGCCGCCGAGGCAACCCGCCTCCGGGCAAGGGGTGGGGATGGTGAGTGGGTTTGGTCAGAGCATGCTGGTGAACTCCGCCATGAGCCAGCAGCACCAGCAGATGAAAGGGCCAGTGGGCCAGGCCCTGCCCAGGCCCCAAGGCCCGCCAAGGCTGCAGAGCATCATGGGAACAGTCCAGCAGGGAGCCCAGGGCTGGCAGCAGAGGAGCTTACAGGGGATGCCTGGGAGGACTAGTGGAGAATTAGGGTCATTCAGCAACGGGGCCAGCTACTCGCTTCAAGCCGGCCAGCCGAGGCTGACCAAGCAACACTTCCCACAGGGACTGAGCCAGGTCGTGGACGCTAACACGGGTGCCATGAGAACCCTCAACCCGGCTGCCATGGGTCGGCAAATGATGCCACCGCTCCCGGGGCAGCAAGGGACCAGCCAGGCCAGGCCGATGGTCATGTCTGGCCTGACCCAGGGCGTCCCCGGCATGCCAGTGTTCAGCCAGCCCCCAGCCCAGCAGATGCCCAGCGGCAGCTTTGCTCCCAGCGGCCAGAGCCAAGCCTATGAGCGGACTGCCCCTCAGGACATGTCCTACAGTTACAGCGGGGAAGCAGCCGGGGCCTCCTTCCCGGGCCTCTCGGACAGTGCCGACCTCGTGGACTCCATCATCAAAGGTGGGCCGGGGGACGAGTGGATGCAGGAGCTCGACGAGTTGTTTGGAAACCCCTAGTCAGGAGGGGGCCCAACGGGCAAAAGAAACAGGATGTGGGCCCATCCTGGTTTTTTGGTTTTTGACCCACGTAAACTGAGCAAAACTGCAGCTGGCTGAGCATGGAAGATCCAGGTGCCAGTCCACAGCCCTGCGGGGCCTCCTTCCACCTGATTTTCTCACAGCAGCCGAGAAGAGACCAGGCAGAGCCCTGCTGCAAGAGAGGGAGCCGCACCAGAGGCAGGTGGGGGAGGCGACCCTGAGCCCCCTGCACCGCACTCCCTGCTCCGGCCCAGACGGACTGCTGCCCACGGCCAGGCATCCGTCAGCCCGTCCTGGCCCAGGTGCGGAGCCTGCAGCTTTGGAGACACAAGAGACGGAGCCTCGGGCAGGAGGAGCCCCACAGAGGCTGCTGGGTGGTTGCACAGGCCGAGAGCACAGGTCAGACATGTGCTGAGCTCTGGCTGGAAAGAGACCTCAGGCTCCCAGACCTGCGCCTGGCTGTGGAGGGCAGACACAGAGAACAGTGCTACGCGGCAGG